TATTGAATATTTGGCAAGTAATTGCTTGATCTATTGTAGCTTTAATGGAAATGAAATAAAAACAAAAAGTAATATGAATGCAGTAGAGGTAGCTTATTCGATTGTTTGTGAGAATCAGCAGTTTGAATGCAATTCAAGTAACGCAGTAGAGTAGTGCAATCATGCGTCGGACAAGAATGATAAGTAGTTAAAACTTATAATGTCAGCCTGTATGGATGCTTCTTCTTTTATATTATATAGAATGTTTTGCTAATTCTAAAGTGTTGGGCATTTACAGAAATCTTAAAAGGAATAAAATATGATAGAAACAAGATATTTAGAATATTATTCTATAATTACATAAAATATTTTATAATTATAAAAAGGAAAGAAGAAACAATTTTATCATTTATAATTTTTATAATTTTTAAAAAATAAAAGATAATTCAATGCATTATCCTTTGTGTATAATCCCCGTACTTATAACTAAAACTTCAATTAGTTTCCTTTCAAGTTTTAAAGTTAATTGCTTTAAAACTTGAAAGGAAACTAATTACTTTAAGACTTGAAACGAAACAACTTATCTATGTAAATAAGCATTAGAATTAATTAAACGGATTAATTAAATGCGGAGGATATCTGTAATCTGATTAAACCGTAAATAACTGTTCGGCCGTTTTAAGGTACTTACGATAATGAAATAAACTATTAAACTGGAAACTGGAGAGACAGCCGCTTATTCTGTTAACGGTAAGCATTTCACATAATCTGTGTGCATGTAATTTCGCATTTAGTCTCTAAACAGAAAACAATTCTGCGGATTCTAGGTTTCGCTAAATTAAAAGAATTGCGATGGCTTTTTATTGATTCGAGCTGCATTAACCGCTTAACCCTCAACTTAGAAGTAAAATAAACTTCTAGAACTGTGCAACGGGTTATAAAAGTAGATTAATTATTTTTACGCATAAAATTAAAGTTGTTTTTTAGAAAATTGATGAACGGTTAAATCTTTGAAACTTGTTTGGCAATAACTATCATAGTTGGTTTAAAAAAAAAAACGAAAAGCTTTTTATTTCATATTTTATCCCATTTTTTTCGTAATTCTGTTGTTCAATTATGGAGATGAAATCTTATTTAATTTAGAAATAATTTTTTATTATTATAGCAAGTTAAAAATCATTATTAACATTTAATTGAAGGAATTTATAATTGATTTTTAATTTACTTTATTTTTTTGCAATTTTATATGACTCTTCTTGCCTATATATGAAAATATCGACGCAAAAGAATATACATATATTAGGTAGCAAATGTATATATATTCTACGATTAATTTATTGAAATCAAACTAAATATTATATATCAAATCTTCGATTTTTTTTAGCTATTATAATTAGTTTTGAAAAGATGAAAAGCTTTATATTCTAATTTTTTTTCGTAAAGTAAGAATATTCTTCTTTCGTCCAATTCTAGGAGATAAAATCTATTATATTTAATTTAGAACCAGTTTTTGATTACTATAGCAAGTTAAAAAATCACCAATGTTTAATCGAACATCAGAAGGTGTGCATAATTAATTTTCCCTTTATTTCGTCTTATTGCAATTTTATATGATTTTCCTTATCTATGTATGAAGATACCAATGCAAAAAAATACTATGTTACATTGTAATATAATATAATGTACATTATACCGACTACTGATTTATTCAGGTCGAACTAAATGCGTCCAAGATGCCAGTAAATTGTGTATAAAGTATAAATATTAAATAAATGCATTATCACAATTTTAATATCAAAATTAATATTAAATTAAAGGTCGCATTAATTTGCGTAATAAAGTTAGATAATAGAATAGTTGTTAATGGAATAAAATCTGTTATGAACCAATTATAAATTAAAAACCACAATTTTAGCAAGTAGTTCAAGGAAAGATGCAGTTTGACATTCTCTGGCCCGTCCTTGGTTCTAGCCTTTCTGGTGGGATTAAACATCGATGGGTCAAGGTCTCCGTTGCTTTGACATACATACACACTCTTGTGTGAAATGTATCTCAAAACTTCCAAAATTGTAACTCTCCAGTCTTGCCCGTGTAATGTGAATTACACGGTGAGTTGCGCGGTAATATCGCAATTCAAACACTCTAGTTAGTGTAATAGCGTTGTTCCGCTATTGTTTTCGTATTGAACATATATTTTTTCGTTCTGGCATAAGCATCTTCGCAATTTGATCCCTCAAAAGAGCAAGGCGCTTACTGCGCAGAACATAGGAATAGGAATTTAATAAATTTTTTTATACGAAATCTCGTCTATTGAATTGAGAGTTATATCGATGTATCCGAGGGTCGTCCCCACTAGGGAGATCAAGGATTTCGGATGGTGCGCGTATCTGGGGCTCTCAACTAGGACTTTCAACTAGGTGGTGCGAAGAGCGGCGAACGACGGTTTCGCAGTGGCAACGTGAAACAGGCTCGAGGTCCGCATTGGCATTCGGTGCTACGGCATGCTCCAACCTGCGCTCATTGTCCTCACGCGCACAATGGAGATCTTTCTGACGCGGCGCTTGTTGCTTCGATGGTCGGTCTGACTAAACTTTGCCCGGACGTCGCCGCCGTTGTCACCGCCGCTACCTCACCACGTGCAATGCACGTCCCGCCGCACGCCATCCCCCCAATAATTTCCCGCACAAACGGATATAGGCGCTGCAGCCGTATACGCGCTGCGAACCGGAGGAGGGATCCGGCGCCGCGAGAGGGTGAGGAAAATGCGCGACGAGAAGGAGAACGGGAACGTCACTGTGTGCGGAAGAGAAAAAGGAGAACTGCCACCGCCACCGTCGCTGCTGTGAGAGGAACGAGATAGGACAGAACTGTGCCATTGTGGAAAGCGGCAGTAGGATTCGCCTGGGGATAGGTCAATCAATGACCTATTTAAGGTGTCTTCAGACTGGTCTCCCTCGACACCCGCCTCCGCGTTTGCCACATCGGGGCTACTCGTGGCGACAAATACTCGCCCAGTGGCGGAGATCCTGCATTCAACAAATGAGGCGGAAGTGTTGCACGTTTGTAGGACGTGAGAAGTTCCATAAGTTAAAGACGTGGCGCGAAAACAGAGCGATCAAGCGTATCTTTGAAGAGTTTTATATTCAGAAATGTCATATATAGATGTATAAGGGATGGTTAATCATCCCTTATTAATCTTTAGAAAATATCGATCAAATCTTCGAATTTTTATATATTAAGTACTACGTCCTCTGAGAAAAAAAAATGTATATATGTTTCAAGAAGGACATTTTCCTTACCCTAATTTTCTCCGTAAAATAAATACATCTTTTCTAAATTATGCTAATTTGATTTCAAAGATATTCAATTAAAAATTTGTTAGTACATAATCCTTGATTATTAGCAAGTTAAATCTAAACAGCATCATAAACTTTTAATTGAATGTTGGAAAAAGAGCATAATTAATGTTTGTTCTAATTTATAACATGTTTTTATTCTGTTTGTTTATAAAGATACTAATGTGAAATAGCATTGACGTTAGGTGTTAATTCATTATGTATGTATATTACATAATATAACGTGGTCGATTTATTGAGATCGAATTTGAATTCATCACACATTCTGTGCAAGTGCGAATATGTAAAAATCTCGTTGCCGTCGATCATTTGTTCAGCTGGATAAACAGTGTTACCTCGATATTGCCTTCCATCTAAACTTATTTGATAATACGCTGCACATTGCAAGACGACTTAGGAAAATCAACAAATCCTGATAGCTACGGCGAATGCTGACGCACGCGCAACCTTGTGTAGTCAGAGAGATGAAATAAATTCCTAATGAAGATCGACTGGAACAGTTCGCATCAGCTTACCACGACCATGAAAAGCAAATCTGTATTCGTAAAATGTATACAAGGATGCCTCCCTCACAAAAGCAACTGTAGAAACTCGATATCCAATAATCGCTTCTACTAATTCCGTTTTGGAGGAAAATTTATCTATAAATCATATCGCTGACAATATAAACGATAAAAAACGTATATAAAAAAATTTCCTCATTATTAAGAAATGTCGTGAGAATGTATAAAAGATATTCTCGTCTACCAAAGTTCTTTTAATCACGTGAGAATAATAATCTAATTTTTTAAATATATTCTTCAAACATTTGAAAAGTAAATTCTAATTTCTTAGACTGTCTCAAAATGCTCAAAACACGTTCAAAAAGCAATTTGCTAATTGTACTTAAAAGTTTCTTTTAAATAAATTACTTGTAAAAATATTTTAGATTTTTACGCTGATTGGGGCGCAATGTACGTGCATGTAGGTCGACGTATGTGCTACAAAGCAGAGTTTACCATACCGAGTCGAGAAGTACCAAAAGGATATGGATTAGTAATCAGCGCGAGACACCAGTTGCGCGGTCGTGTGGTCTGGTCGAGATATCTGAGAGCGATCGGAATGAAGCCTGGATAGGGTAGACCCTCGCCCTCCTCCTCCTCGTCCTCATCGTCGTCATCCTCGTCGTCATCATCATCGTCGTCGTCCTCGTCGTCCACATCAATCTCACCGTTCTCGTCATCCTCGTCTTCGTCTTCTCCCTCGATCGCTCGCTTATCGGCAGATTCACGAGCCTCATCCTCATCCTCATCGTCCTCGAGGTCGCTGAGCTCCGCCACGTCGCTGTCGGAGCCCTGCTCGCCGACCCCGGTCCCGCTGACCGCCTTTGATGCGGATCGGTACCGGTATCCCTGAGGATAGTGCAGCGACATCCTCGAGTACCTCGAGTGCCTCTGTCTCGCGAACGCGACGTTCCTCTGGTGACTATGACGGCCTTCAACGACGTCGCGGCCTCCTCGGCGCCCGGGGCTGCGTGAGGCGACGATTCCGGGACTCCTCGACCGTTCGGGAGGAGATTCTCATCGCCCGATCTTGCACGTTCGGTCTCCCTTCCCGCACTCGCTCTTGACTAATCGCATGAACGATCGGTCGTTCTCGGCGATGTCATCGAGAATGCTCCGTGCTTGCTCGATTCGTTGCGTCAATTCTTTTGTCGCAAATATGATGATGAGTCTCTCTCTCTCTCTCTCTCTCTCTCTTTCTCTCTCTCTTTCTCTCCAATACACCCAACGTCTTAATCCCGATGCTCGACGCGGATTGCTCTGGATTGTCGTGATCGACGTAGAGAGCGAGTGCCCGCCGATCGCATCTTATGCTGGAGCCGGAGAGATGGCGAATCCAGGTGTGCAGTTGCACCTTTCGACGCGCCTGCCCGGTGATTCCTCTCACCTGCGCTTCTCACTTGAGGACGTGGCGAGCGCGCAGTAACCTTGCCCCGGTATCGCGATGTCCCTGGAGGATATGGTTGCGCCGTGATCCTCACCACGAGGTCACGTACATACAGGAAATACGGAAAATTCTTCTTGAGAAAGAGACAATTTTTGACGGTACGATTTCAATTCTTGGAAGAGGAGCACGTGAAGCGCGTGGCCGAGAGCTAATTTACTGCACCACCACCACCACCTCTTTCGCTTCCTCCTCTTCTTCCGGGTATCCTTCACCTGGCTGTACCCTCTCGCGTCAGGTGCGGGTCCTATCGACCGCGACGTTGGCCGCGCGGACACGAGGGCACTAGCGCGGACTATTGTCCGCAAGGCGAACGTCAAGCGCGGACGTATGGTGCGGTGGTGGTAGCCAGCAGCTGAACACCGCGCGATCGCGGCCGTGTTCACGACGACGGTGCCCGGCGCAGCGTCGACCGGTGACTGAAAAAAACGTCGAACATCCTCTACCCGACGGTGATGCGGACGCATGCGCGACCCCCGGTGTGTTGCGTGTCCCTCGCCTCATCCGCGTCTCGCGACCTCCAACATACATCCTCCCCCAGAGAAAATCCGGAGATCTTCCTACTCTTTCCCACCTCTTCTCGGTGTCGTACCCATCTCTTCTCTTCCTCTTCCTTTTTGCTCTTTCTCAACTTCCTCATCTCTCGGTCGACCGAGAAGCACCTTCACAGTTGATACTCGACACGGGCAAAACGGAGGGAAAGCGAGAGAAATTGGGGGATGAGGTGACTGTAGAGGATCCGACAAAGTCCTTGAGATCCTTGCTTTCACTTTCGGCGCCGACCAAGAGATACTTGTGGTTTTTTCTCGCTATTATTTGTGCGAAGGATGCTATCTCATTTTGAACTTCGCACCCCTATTGATATTCAGACTAATTGATGACCTCGGGGGCTACCGCTTGATCTGTGTGAGTGATTGCTCGTCATGAAACCTGAAAGATAATCAAGAGGAAAACAAGTTCACCGGAAAAAAGTTTTTTTTTTCGGAATATGTATAAAAGGAAAAGAAAAGAGGAAGGGAACAACGATAACTTGGGGGTGTATTTGAAGGATGCCTATTCGACGATACATTGTCGAAAGGTTTCGTTCGACAAAAAGGCGATAAGAAATCGCGACGATTTTATTTTACATAGTGTCATAAACTCAGCGTTCGGGAACAACAATCTTCAGAAAATATTTCCCAGTATTTTCCGTGCTTGTGCGCTAAAAGAAACTCTTATCAGAAATAATATATCAAAAATAGAAATGTCTCGCAAAAATAGATATGATCAGAGTTAACTTTTTCTCTTTCGAAAAGATATGCAGCTTACATTGCTGTTAAATTCTGAAAATTATTTGTTACGTTTTTAATAATTGAATTTCATACACATATCTATGTACAAAATTAATTATTTTATAACATATACGGTATGTAAAAAAATGATATACGTTTTAATTTTCGTCACAGTTATATTTCCAAGACATTCTCGATGGTATAGATTTATTACTATTATGAGCTTTAAAAGAAATAAGGTATATCTCATATAGCAATAGATAAACCGAGGCTCGTTAACACAAAAGATAAGAGTTGATAAACATACATAAATATAAAAAGATATTTGCATAATAATGCTTTATATTTATATATATAATATTTTTATATTTAAATAAGTTAAAACTGAAATAGCTTACATTTGTTTTTCTGTATAACAACATTTTGCTATTCAATTATGAAATAACTTGTGTGCGAAAAGATATAATCTCTACCAAGAAGTATTTGTGATCTACTTTTTATTTTTATTAAATTTTTATTAATTTAGTATGAAGTTTGTCATATAAGCAACTTACATGGTGATGTATCAATTTCTAAACTATCAATTTAAAAACTATCCAATTTAAAAACTACCAATTTAAAAACTATCGGGATAAACTGGCTGCAATGCGGCATGTTCATATTTCACTTAATCAAGGGATTATACAGTGTACAGAACCATTCCTGGCATGAAAGTGTAAAGAAAGCTTCTCCCCATCATATTAGTACATTTTAACTACAATAATATATTAATTGTTTAAAAAGTTCAATGTCGAAATTGCGAAAACTGTGTCAATTCTCCCTTAATTATGCTTCACTTATTGTAATGCGATAAATTAAATAAGTAATACAATTATATAGCACAATTATAAATACACAATTATATATTATAGTACAATTATAAATACAATAAACAACTATAATGCCGTAAACATACATAATACTGAGCATTAATACCTGAACAGAAAACAACGATTTTTACTTTTTAATCCTACAATGTTCTAATAAAGGCTTCAATGGTACGGCGGAGTTGCAGAAACGATTGCTGAGACTAACTCCCTATACGCTTCATCTATTTTTGCTCGGAAGTCGGAAAATGGAAAAGGAGCGGGCTATATGTGTATAGCGCTGTTATACGATTTCTCGGACGGCAAGAACGACAAGGTAACGATGATAATCAACTGCCGGATACTGGATACGCGATTAAAGTCAGCACTGTGTCCGGAAACGATCAAACTCGTTGAAGATTACAAACGCGCCGTCATCAGCCTTAATCGACTCCGCGTGCGCAGCCGAAAATAGAAATCCAACCATGCGCGTTCCATGTTCGCCGTTCAGTCATGTCAAGTGGCTGGCATTTACGGCATTTGATGTTTCGCAAACTATTCTTCTTAATAAGAGAAAAAAAGCTAGAGTGGAAAGTATAAGCTAAAGTAAAAAGTAAAGTAAAAAGTAGAAAAAAAGAAAAAGAAAAGAGGAAAGGAAAAAGATGTTTTTATCTCTTTCTTGTACATTTGCAACACTTTATTCAAAATGAAGATAAATGCTTACAACGCAGCAGAAACGTTGGATTATCGCGCCGTTGCTGTTGTATATCATGCCGAATGTATCAATACATTTACTTATTTGGATGCGATACGTTATAAATTTATTCACGTTTGTGAATACAAATGCGACTGATTTATGATGTTATAGTGACTGATAAAAGTTTGGCAAGTATAAAATAAAAAAAATCAATACATAATATAAAGTAATTGGACCTAATCAAGAAACAATTTTTTATAACTGTTGATATTCGATTTTAGATTAAGAAAACACTCTCTTAAAAAAAATCGATCTTTACATTTCTCCAACGCCGAAATAATGAGAAATATAAAAAAAAAATGTGACAAATAAAAGTTTTATGGTTTTGAAAGCTGTATTGCTTCTCATCAATATTATGAAAACTTCTATGGATTTTAAATATTCAAGATTTCAATCTGTTCTTTACTTTTCTGTTGTATGAATTTGGAAAGAAAAATCCACTGAAAAATTCCGAGAGCATCTAAAGTTTTATGAAAAAGTTTTATGAACTTTATCGTTAATGGAAACTTTTTTATCGTAAAAAAAAAGCAAAAGCACGTACCTGTGATCCTGTGATATTCGAACAGTTTTAATTTCAAAACAATCGGACTATCCATAGATTTGTAAAATGCGCATAAAATTTGTTCAGTTTTATTCCTTAACTCGCTGTGATCCAAATAGACGCAGTAGGTTGGAGCACATGATTGAATTACTAAACAGCTCTGTCGTAAGCTGCAATAAAAGATTATATTATTTGACATTTTTCAAAGTTTGTTAATTTACAGCATCGGTGTTCTCTTATCTTTACATATAATACCAAAAATGTAATATCTAACCTATGTTGAAGATCTATATCGATATAACAAACGAGCATAATGAGACATTTAACAGACGATTCTGTAAATATTTGGGTATCATGGTCTTTACGGCAGAATGCGGCTTTGCTTGGCTTCGTTTACTTGACCTAACTGTCATGACTATGCGTGTTAAAGTACTCGGTGTTTAATGATCAAACTAAAATTACCACAAGAGCAACTAAGCGTACTGTCTTTCATTCGCAGAATTCTCAACTGTGATGAAGCATCCACTGTCCTCCGAGTTCCAGAACAATCGGCGAAGTAAATATCTTGCAGTTCATCCGGTAAATTTGTTCAATGCGATCAAAGTTGACTTCGTACAAGTTCTCCTTCATGAGGACCGTATTATGATATATTGAGATGTTCCTATAAATTACATCATACATGTCACATTATGACAATGATAGATAAGATAACATTCACATTTGAACAATTTTATCGCCCTTTCCAGCAATTGCAAAATAACGTTTTATTTTTTTCTTTATATTGCTCCGTTACAACAGCATCCGTTAATTCAATATACATGTTCTTCTCATTTTTCATAGCTATTCCAGCATACGCGAAGTCATTTATCATAAGGTTTATAAATAGATTATGGATCATTAGATTTTCTGAAAAAGCGCGAAATCCGTTATATAGCAATGATGATGACACAAACATCATTCATCACGATTCATTACCATTTCGTATAATGTTTTTATCGTCCTAGTAAACTTTGTTAATCTTTCTTCAGACAATATCTGACAGCTTCCTTAATATAATCTTTTGTATCTTCTTTTAATATTTGATTGATTAACTATAGTGATAACTTTTACTCCTCACATGATGAATACATTTTTAACCATGACCTCGTTATAAAGAAATAATATCGTTCAGATCAAAGTGCAGAACTATAGCATATAAATTTTTATATAAAAATTCTTCTATAAAAAATATAAAAAAAAAGTAAAATAAATATAACATCTTTAATAGAATTATTAATGTAGTTATATATCTGACATATCTGAGTTTAAATGAATAAGTCAATTTTTATTATAACATATATATTTATATATGTCACATGTATGTATACGCTATTTCTTAAATTTATTTTTATATATAAAAATGTTATTTTAATGTGTTTATGTGTAATTATTTAATAAATAAAATTGTTTAATTATTAACAGTTCATAGTATATCATTAATAGCTCAATTTGGAAAAATATTATTAGGATTAGCAAAAGCAATTGAAAGCTATAGTGAGTACAATAATTTATATAGGTATAAATATAACAAATATACATATGTATATTATATAAGACTAATGTCTTACATACAGGGAAAATATATGAAATATTCAAATTCTATGTAAAATGATAAAAAGTTATATATATAAGTCATATAAGTAGTAGAAAAAGATTTTAATTGGTATATATTTGAAGATTAAAATTATGATTAAATTTATGGTTTTTTATTTTTAAATAATTGTTATTCATGTAACAAAACTTTTCAGGATTTTTATTGTTTATATATCTTTTTTTATTACTTTGTTGCATAGAACTTATTCTTAAGGTTTGTACATAACTTTCGACTACTTACATTCTATATACAGGACGTTCCCGATGTAACTGTATTTCTATTTGTTACGAAATAAATTCAAATAAAAATGTTGTAATGTTTTTATTATATAACTATAATTATACAAAATACAAAT